GATTTTGAGTAACTTGTATATCACGAACTTTATTTTACAATATTTTAATGAACAACAAATATGTCTCCTTAATTCTTGTGCAAGTGTATCGATTAAGGGATTGATAATCATTTAACATAATTTATATATTTTTTACAAAAAAATTATTTTTTTGAAAACCTCTTCTTATTTGAACATTCTTAAAACAAAATATATTGTTACATATTATTAAATTAAATAGCACTTAAGATACTTTCTGTTTAACCATTTTATTTTAAATGCTGTAACACTTCTAGTTCTTAAAGAATCTTTATTCAAAGTTATACAAACTTCAGTATTAATATAGAATTTAAGTTTTTGTTGAACTTTGATTTTATTTTTCCTTACAAATGCTAACATGGCTTCAGAAGCAAACAATAATAAAGATTTTCTTAGAGATTTAATTAACAACTTCGAATACATATCAGAAAATGATATAGAAGATATTGAAAGTATGGGATTAGCAAGCAAAAGTCTTATATCAAATGGAATTGAAATAGGAAGTAATGACAATAATTTAGATTTTGATCTAGAAATTAGTTCTTTTCTTTTTAACAAAACCAGTTTTGAAAAGGCATAGGCCTTGATAGAAGAGGAAGAAACAAGCAATCTAATTTTTTAAATGATATAGATAATGATAACATTGATGTGGACAGTAATGATACACTAATATCAGCAGAGTTTGATTCAAATAAAAGTGAATACTTAATTAAAAACTTAGCATTAAAAAAAGGTATTAGCAAAATGTTAATACTATGTCTAATTATAGATATTACTGATAGCTGTTGTTCAACTGAATTATCAAGATGGCATACTCAACTTGTTGGTGCATAGGAAATCAATGAAACAATTTTTCTTTAGACATAGAATACAAACAAGTTATCAATGATAGATGTATATCAGGCTCATTTTAATTTTGATCAAAACTAACTACATGCTCGAAATGCTAAGTAAGAGTGATCAATTAAGAAGAGTTGGGTTTTTTGTCAACGTTGTTTGTTTTGTAATAAGTCCAAATATTTCTTTAATAGAAGTAATATATGTGTGTACAACATTCGAAATGTATATTTGGAAAAAACATTCAATACCCTGTGTTAGGCTTATAGTATATCCTATATTCGAACAGAAAGTAGAATCAAAAACATTTAGTAATGATCTAGAAACTGAATATAGGCCTCAATATATTTGTTGTAAATACTTTGCTGCTCATAAGACATATTTATGAAAAACAAGATTACAGAAGTGAACGTTTCAAATGTGTGAATATGCATAGTAATGATACAAGTAAGATACTTAAAATTTTAGGTTACTGGATTTTATATATAGCAGAGACTACTGATGATTGTAAAAAAAAAATCTTTTAGTAAGCCTGGTTTCTGTTTTACAAACATTTTTTAATACAAAATCTTACAAAAAATCTGTAAGTGTTCCTAGTCTCTTTTTTGTTAAGGTGGCCTTAAGGTTGGTTATGTTCATTTGAAAAAGATCATTAAAAAAATATATATCATTACTACTGAAATGGCTGCTGATCTTGGTAAGGCACTAGGAGCTGCAATGTAGAGTGCACAAAGCAATATACAAAAACATAAATTAAAGCTTGAGAGCTTTGTATTATTAGCACAATATCAGGAAAGGTTTCTTCAATTCTTAGTAAATTTTTCTAATGGATTTATAGATACATTGCAGAGAAAAAAAACATGCAATAGTGACAAAAAAAAGAAAACAAAAGAGACTTCAATTAAAAGTTTTTGATGTAAGCTGTATAACTAAGATAGTTGTATTTCTCATCTCTATGATTTTAAACATAGTATTTCTGAGAACAAACATATAGCTTACTTATATAATGAGTTCACTTTGTAGAAAGCTGAAATTACACTACTGTCTATATAATATTCTATGCATTGCTAATGTGGTGTCCCATACCCAACAACACTTTTAGAAAAAGCTTGTTTGCATGAAGCCAAACCAGAGAAAAGATTATTATAAGGCATTAATATATAGAACTTTTTAGTTATCAATAATATAGATTTTTTTGAACAAATGTTCATATATGGAAATATTTATGACATGATTCATAAAACTTCACATATGACTTTGAGAATGGTATTCCAATTTGTTATGCCGGAACCAGTTAAACATTACAATCAAAATAACAATCATGA